AAAAAAAAAAAAAAAAAAATGTTTTCTGTGCAATTTTTTTGATCATCTGCAGTATTTAAATTAAGTCTCTTTACTCATGTAAAGTAGAATCTGTTAATGTAAAGATATTATGATCGTGTTGCTCAGCAGTTAATGTTTAGAAAAAGAATTGGCCAAGGTACGAGAGCTCAGCGGATCTGTGTCTCTGTGTCCTCTGTTCTTCCCTCACTTCCTAAACCTAATCAACAATACCTCTGTTTTCTAGGAGTGTTGTCTTTGTAACTTGCGTGGAGGAGCTTTGAAGATTACCACAGACGACCGGTTAGTAGCACATGGAATTTGATATGGCAGTTTTGTATTGTTTGTTAATATTTGTCCAAAAATTGCTGCAAATGTACTAATAACGAACCCCAGTGGGTTTATTACAATGACCTTCGTGAGAAAACAATTAAAAACATGTTATGACAAAATTATTTAACATAGATTGATTTAACTTTTTTCTTGCAATGAGACAAATATAATAGTACAAAATCCACACATTGGCAAAGGTTGACTTTTTCCCAGTTTTTTTTAAATTTTTTAGTAATTCCCATGTGAGCTGACGATTTTATGTCCCTGTGTCACCAGGTGGGTTCATGTCATCTGTGGCATCGCTGTGGCTGAAGCTCGCTTTGTCAACGCCAGTGAGAGGGAGCCGGTGGATGTCTCTGCCGTTCCAGAAACCCGCAAGAATCTGGTAAGCTGAAACAGAGACTAGGACTACGTTCACACTGCAGGCTGAAGTGACTCAAATCTGATCTTTTTGCCCAAATGTGACCCATATCCGATTTCCTTATGACAGTGTGAACAGCACAAATTCGATTTTTTCAAATCCGGCCCAGGCCACTTTCATATGTGGTCCTAAATCGGATACATATCCGATGTTTTGCAATGCGACTTCAGTCTGAACGGCCATGTCGCATTTCATGCGATTTTTATGTCATTGAAATGCGACAGACATCACAATTCTGCACTGGAGGAGGCAAGGCCATAAGCAATATTTGTGCTCTCCTCCTTCTTGATGTTCTTCTTATTATTATTTCTTTATTTCGATTGCACATTAACTGGTACATCCCTACGCACATGCTATCACGAGCCGCATCCATTTTTATTTCCGCAAACACAGTACGCTGCGTCTGACGTCACGTCCTCTTCTGCGCATGCGGGTCACCTCAGGACTGTATACCGTTCACACATGAGACAGATGGCATTAACTTTTAAATGACAGTGTGAACAACAAAAAAATCGGATTTCGGCAAAAAATCCGATCTGAGCATTAAGACCTGCAGTGTGAACATAGTCAAAGAAAGGTTTAGTCCGTCTTTCTCACAGTACATACAGTATGATGCCAGACAGTCAGGACTCCACATTTATATGCCTTTACAGTCAAAATCTTCAACTTCATACTAAAACTGGCAACCTGTCTCTATGAAGAAAAGTAGAAGACTTATCCGCCCTCATTGCACATTGCAGCTTCTCTCTTTATCACTGATGTCTTAATGTATTTTTCTACATTTAAGCAAATTCTTCTTTCCTTATCCATCACTCTCTCGGTTACCCTCCCTCCTTCCCTGGTAGATGGATAGATTGTGTTTTCTCTCAAAAGGTTTTTCTCTTACATTCCAAGTCTATTCCAACTCAATTCTCTTATGCAGCGCCAAACAAATTTGATATGATTTACTGATTTTGAATTGTAGATGAAATAAAAACAGAAGGTGCAATGAGGTTTAAAGACACAAATGGACACACAAGTAATGTTTTGGTTTTGGTGCTACAGCATTTATTTCATGCGGCTCTGGTGTCGTGTCATTTCTACTATGGAAAGGTGCTCCAGCTGTTGAAATATCACACGGAACAGCTCTGGTGAGAGCTGTTGTACATTCCTGCACTAGTACAAAAAATGAAGTATTGGCACTTTAATAAAGAATTTTTACTATTGTATTGATTGGGTATGCATTGCACTACAGCTGCTCACCATGTAATTTGCCAAAAGGTTGAGGATGGAGAAAGGCGGATGAGAGAGAAAGACTGAGCAATCATGGATGATCACAATCAAACAAGCGTAGAGAAATTTACCAGTCAGATAAGATGAGACATTTGTGAAAGCTGTTGGGATTCATGGGTTGATGCTCTTTGAAGCATATTGTCATAAGCTGAACATGTATAATTCCACATTTCTGCAATCACACTTTTTTTCCTTGGCAGGTAAATAGATTAGATTGGATTTGACTTTACAGTGCCTTGTGAAAGTATTCGGCCCCCTTGAACTTTGCGACCTTTTGCCACATTTCAGGCTTCAAACATAAAGATATAAAACTGTAATTTTTTGTGAAGAATCAACAAGTGGGACACAATCATGAAGTGGAACGAAATTTATTGGATATTTCAAACTTTTTTAACAAATAAAAAACTGAAAAATTGGGCGTGCAAAATTATTCAGCCCCCTTAAGTTAATACTTGGTAGCGCCACCTTTTGCTGCGATTACAGCTGTAAGTCACTTGGGGTATGTCTCTATCAGTTTTGCACATCGAGAGACTGAAATTTTTGCCCATGCCTCCTTGCAAAACAGCTCGAGCTCAGTGAGGTTGGATGGAGAGCATTTGTGAACAGCAGTTTTCAGTTCTTTCCACAGATTCTCGATTGGATTCAGGTCTGGACTTTGACTTGGCCATTCTAACACCTGGATATGTTTATTTGTGAACCATTCCATTGTAGATTTTGCTTTATGTTTTGGATCATTGTCTTGTTGGAAGACAAATCTCCATCCCAGTCTCAGGTCTTTTGCAGACTCCATCAGGTTTCCTTCCAAAATGGTCCTGTATTTGGCTCCATCCATCTTCCCATCAATTTTAACCATCTTCCCTGTCCCTGCTGAAGAAAAGCAGGCCCAAACCATGATGCTGCCACCACCATGTTTGACAATGGGGATGGTGTGTTCAGGGTGATGAGCTGTGTTGCTTTTACGCCAAACATAACGTTTTGCATTGTTGCCAAAAAGTTCGATTTTGGTTTCATCTGACCAGAGCACCTTCTTCCACATGTTTGGTGTGTCTCCCAGGTGGCTTGTGGCAAACTTTAAACAACACTTTTTATGGATATCTTTAAGAAATGGCTTTCTTCTTGCCACTCTTCCATAAAGGCCAGATTTGTGCAGTATACGACTGATTGTTGTCCTATGGACAGAGTCTCCCACCTCAGCTGTAGATCTCTGCAGTTCATCCAGAGTGATCATGGGCCTCTTGGCTGCATCTCTGATCAGTCTTCTCCTTGTATGAGCTGAAAGTTTAGAGGGACGGCCAGGTCTTGGTAGATTTGCAGTGGTCTGATACTCCTTCCATTTCAATATTATCACTTGCACAGTGCTCCTTGGGATGTTTAAAGCTTGGGAAATCTTTTTGTATCCAAATCCGGCTTTAAACTTCTCCACAACAGTATCTCGGACCTGCCTGGTGTGTTCCTTGTTCTTCATGATGCTCTCTGCGCTTTAAACGGACCTCTGAGACTATCACAGTGCAGGTGCATTTATACGGAGACTTGATTACACACAGGTGGATTCTATTTATCATCATTAGTCATTTAGGTCAACATTGGATCATTCAGAGATCCTCACTGAACTTCTGGAGAGAGTTTGCTGCACTGAAAGTAAAGGGGCTGAATAATTTTGCACGCCCAATTTTTCAGTTTTTTATTTGTTAGAAAAGTTTGAAATATCCAATAAATTTCGTTCCACTTCATGATTGTGTCCCACTTGTTGTTGATTCTTCACAAAAAATTACAGTTTTATATCTTTATGTTTGAAGCCTGAAATGTGGCCAAAGGTCGCAAAGTTCAAGGGGGCCGAATACTTTCGCAAGGCACTGTATTGTCATTACCCATGTACAAGTACAAGGCAACGAAATGCAGTTTAGCATCTAACCAGAAGTGCAATAACAGCAGTGAAAAGTGCACAGTATGAACAGTCAGAACTAATTTACCAGATGGATATGTACAATTGATATTTATAGTAAGATATGTAGGGTAATGTACGATATACAACAGACTATGGACTCAAATTACAGTAATGGACAAGGTACCTTTAAGCTTATGGAACACTAGTGCAAATAAGTGCTGTTAGTATTTTGAAGAAAGTTGATGTTTCTGAAACACACCAGAGGTTGTCTTGGTGAAATGGGAAAATATGGAGAAATGGAGAAGTTCCCTCACATACTCTTTCCTTCGTGCATCTTGGCTTTTCATCTCTCTCTGCCTTGTTCTCCTCATTTTAACCAAATCACAGATAAATAAGGAATTGGGAGGGAAAGGGACAGGAGACATGGAGGGTTGAAGGATTTGAAGTGAATAAAATTAAGGTTATGGGATTGTATGTGCAGGGCGGTATCTGCCAGCAGCTCAGTGGAGAGTTGGCCAGCTTTGTGGACAAATGCAAAGATTTTGTTGGCTGGTGGTAAATTCACACTCAGGTTGTGGGGATTTGAAAGGAAAAGTTCTCAAAAGGTAGTCAACTCCTATGATTGTCCATGAGTGGAGGTTGAATGAGTGATGCAAGAAACCAAAAAGTTTCCACGAGAAAAATAAAGATGGAGAAAAAACGTTTTGAATGTCATAGTGACTGTTGAGCCATTTAGGCCTTTTTAACAACTAGTCTTTATTTTTTGTGCACATTGCAGAAGTGTGTGTTCTGCCATGGCAAGACTACCAGTCAGAACCGTGGTGCCTGCATCCAGTGCTCTCACGAGAACTGTGCCACCTCTTTCCACGTCACCTGCGCCCAAATTGCTGGAGTAACCATGAAGCCTGCTGACTGGCCCTATGTGGTGTCTGTCTCTTGCCACAGGCATAAAAAGGTCATTACAAAGGTAAGAAACAGTAAACCATTAAATTGCATTAAAATGGTATAAAATAGTAATTTGGCAAGTATTACAAAAAAAGGTGTCTCTAAAGCCTGTTTCAAAAAAGTGTTTTTTTCCAGGGACAGTTTACATTCATCAGCATCACTGTAAATATGTGTAGGTGTTTTAGCCAAAAGCGCAATTTTCAGCTGTTGTACCTCGGACACACATAAAAATTGTAACAGGAAAGAGAAGGCAAAACATGAGTTTATAAGTTTGTCTTTTCCCCAAATGATACTAAAGTCATCTGGTATAATGGCATATTAAAATTATAATGCTTACAAGACTTGAAGCTAAGACTTGCCCCCCCCCCAAAGGTTTTGTAAAGGGTGGCTGGTGAATTCCACTTAGTCCTTTCTAAAAACTATATATCCAGGTATACTGACAGAAGCTGATGGAGAGCGAGTACAGAGCTAAGTTTCAGACATACAAATTCAGAAGTAGATGGCTTATTTGATGACACTTTTAAGTCTGCTCCCCCTAACAGTCCTTTGAGTTTGTTTTGGGAATCCATAAAATCCTAACATGATTTACAGTATGAAAAATGTGATATTTCTTTAGCCTTTAATTTCCAGGCTGAAGGCAATCTCCAGTTTTTGCAGTGTTTATCAACCTGATAAGGGTTAGTGGTTCAGTGGACATCATTCTCCATGTTTGTTCACTCACAGAGTAATTCTGAGTAGCACTTGTGGTGTTTCTTTTCAGTTGTACTGTGTTTGTGGAATCATGGAGCCCCCTTCCTACATGAATATCTGTGTTATACAAAAGAATTCCTAATAACACCACCTGTATCAGTGAAAAAGCAATTATGTGCCCATTTATTACATCGTAGGCATTTACGGTTCAACTTTTTTCACGAGAGAGAAAACAACAAAACATAACTCATGTTGAACATACAGACAATATAATGAGGTTTCTGTAATTTTTTCCTCTGTCTGGGTTTTTCTCTATCCAGCCACGGACAGTACCCAAAGGCACACAGAATCTGAACCTTGGCCAGAGAGTGGTCGGTCGCAACAGTGATGGCTGGTACTACCACTGTACCATCATTGGCATGGCAACGCAGACGTTCTATGAGGTCAACTTTACTGATGGCTCATACTGTGACAATTTGCATCCAGAAAACATATTAGTAAGTGCTCTTACATTTTAGACACCTACCTTTGTGCGGTTTATAAATAGTCTCAACAGCGATCTTTTTAAAATGAGAAATATCCTAGCAACTGGTAAATGCTTTGTACCTTGAGCATCTCAGCAAATAGAAATGTAACAACTTTAATAATATAAAATCCTCCAAGGATGAAGTTTACTTATCAAAAAAAAAGTTGAACTAAATACAGAAGAACAATATCAAGCAATCTTAATGTAAACTTACAAAACGGTTGCAATCAGTTATTGCTTTCTATTGTCTTTTTTAAGTTTTGCATCTTCACCATCCTCCGTCTTCTTTGCCCCCTCACCCTTCAGAGTCATGACTGCCTGCATAGCGGCCCTCCTGATGTAGGGGACAAGATTGTGGTTGGCACCCCTGATGGTCTTGTCCTCAATGCTTCTTTTGTCAAACAGCACACACACAAGTTGTACCAGGTAAGGGAAAAGGCAACAACAAATGAGCCTCAAATCTAAAATATCTGGGATCAAAAATCAACTAGAGGTTAGAGTATTGGGGTTGTGGCCAGTTTAGGTCTGAATCTCTGAACAGACTGGACAAATCTGGGCAGAAAAAAATAGTCATATTAGGCTGTCACTTTTTTTTTTTGAACTGACATGTAATTTGTTCAAATTAATTAAGTACCTCTTGCTGCTTTGGCTAATTTATGGGCTGCTTCATGAGAGTTTAGCTAAGATATCATGACAGGCTGCAGGGGTACAATAGTCAGGTGAGGCTGTAGAATGGACTTTGCTCCACTTGTAATGGATGGATGTTTTGTAATTCCCAACGGTGTAAATATATGAACTTTTCCAAGTCAAAACAAAATGATGAAGAAATAAAGGCTGCATGCACACAGACATTTGCCCGATGTTAAAACAACGGGGCAAATGTATGGTGTGCTTTCAAAAGGGCTTTTTTAGTAGGAGCGTGTTTTATATACTGGTGAGTCGGTGAAATAAGATCCAAGATGTCCATTTAGAGGAATGGATTTATGTGTTTAAAGCTTATTAGACACCAAGCAAAAAAAACTAAGGTTTATAATACTTTCAGACAGAATTTTACCACTATCTGGAAAGTTATCACTGTGCCAACTGTTTCATCTTCATGGTGATCTTAAGGTAAACTCCAGAAATAACGTCCTTTTTATAAAGTAATCTTTAGAAATGTGCACTTGCATATATGTGATTCACTGGTCCCTCACCTTACTAAATGGCATCACAAAAAGTTGAACCCGAGCCAGCTTATTTTTCCACATGATGATGATGTTTTGGCAGAAGCCTCTGTGGAGCCGTTCTCTGTTTTGTAATACACTTCCCCCATTCAAATGAATGAGGGCTGCATTTTTTTTCCACGGAGTCTTGATGCAGCCTTAGGTGTGTGCTTGGTGAGCAACAGCGTCATTTCCATATTTCATCTGCTGCTCTTCTGCAGAGTGACTTGAAGCGATTGAACCTGTGAACCTTTAGTAACAGTTGCTCTGTCTGCTGCCTTTGCCACCCTCTGGTTTGGTTCCCCGAACTGGTATTTGTCAGCGTGTGAAAAGCTTGGCCGCCCTTGTAGAGAATGTTGGAGCATTTTGATACAGTGTGGCGTTAAAATATTAAGTAGAGAGATTTAGCATCATTGGTGCATGCTGGGGAATTTATGGGGCAAATGTGTGGTGTGCTTTCAAAGTGGAAAATGCAGAAATGGGACTGGTGTCAACAGAGGCCATCGTCAGAGTAATATACATACATACACAAGAATGCATTCGCAGATGAGGTTAAGTTGTTCATCTTAGATTTTGCCATGAGGCTGGTTTTGGAAGCATATATTTAAGTGTTGTTCTGAGTGCACTTACAAATATACATTCCCACACACACAACAGAAATAGGATTAATGAAGACTGCTCTAACCCAGAGATCACTTGCCGAATAACACAGAACCTTGTCTGACTCGTTCAGTCTCTGGATCTACACATAGATTAAAACCCTGACATATAATGTGTAAAATATTGAACCAGTCAAGGGAAGCATTTCTTGACATGTTTGTCTAGTGTCACGGTCTTGTTTCCTCAGACGATGTAACTGTTTATGCACCTCAAACTTGTCTGTTTTTCCAGACTTCCTCAAGAAAGCAAATCAGTGTTGTATCTTTCTGTGCTCTTTTCATGTGCCTGTGTAGCCTGCTGGCTACACTAGTGAGATGCCTGTTAAAGACGAGGAACGCTGTTACCATGAATTAAAAACAAGCCTCCAGCTGGTCGCTGTGTCGGTGCCACAGCCCTGTCCTTGACTTATTTTGCTCAAGGTTTTAATAAAATCTATATTTACATTTAAAACACTTTGCTGCTGGTCTCATCCACTCAGTGAGCAGCTTTGGGGTTCAGTGTCATGGTCAAGGTCATTTTGACAGAACACGGTTGATAAACCATTTGTTATTGCCGAGATCCAACCTGTGACTTTCTGGGTGCATGTTTGTAGTTTTATTCAATGAACCACCCTGATACATTTTTTTCCTCACTACCCACTCTGTCCTCTTTTTGTTATGCTAACGATGTAGTCTCCCCCTGATATAGCCTCAAGTAATTGTTATTGGTCAAGTTATGTGCATTTGGAAGTCCTTTTCTGTCTTCATGTGTCGCCAAATGTATTCTCTGCTCACAGGAGACAAAACATTTGGAAATTCTGGTCGATAAAGCCAGAGTTTTATTGTATTTGTGCAGGTTGAGTTTCCTGACCAGAGTCAGCTGATGCTCAAACACTCAGAGATCCATCAGCTAGACCAGGAACTGCCCAAGAGGGTTCGATCCAGGCTTGTGAGTATTTTACTGAGGTTTTGCTTCCTACTGTGCTCACACACCAGATACAGGATATTCAGGTCTTGCTTTAATAATATATTTAGAGGAGTTTGGCAAATAATTGGTTGCAGAGTCAAAAACATAGGACTAGGCAGCCTGACAGTAACTTGTAATGCTCAGTAAAAGGACACTAATTAATTGCAGATAAAACTTTGTATTCAAGCAAACGAATGACATTTGCACCCTACAGAGGATAAAGGCCTGTGTGTGGGCCAGATTGTGTAGGTTGTTAGTTTGAATAAGTATCTGTTAAAAAGTGTGTTGATATACTTCTCAGTCTTGACATCTAAAGAGTTTTGACTCAAACGTGCCAGAGAAGTTTCCGGTGAATGTTTGCGGAGGAGAAGGCTGAGTTAACTTTTAAAATCTCATTTAAACTCTTGTTTTGGCAAGTTGGTTAGGACATGCATGACAATTTTTCCAGCAGTTGTTTAGATAGATTAATTCACTATATCACAATTCCAGTGGGTTAGAAGTTTACATACACTTGTTTGACTGTGCCTTTAAACAGCTTGGACAATTCCAGAAAATGACATCCTGGCTTTAGAAGCTTCTGAAAGGCTAATTGACATTGTTTCAGTAAATAGGAGGTGAACCTGTAGATGTATATTAAGGCCCACCTTCAAATTCATTCCTTCTTTGTTTGGAAATCATGGGAAAATCAGCCAAGACCTTAGGAAAAAAAACTGGACCACCACAAGACTGGTTCATCCTTGAAAGCAATTTTCAAATGCCTGAAGGTACCAGGTTCATCTGTACAAACAATACTACGCAAGTATAAACACCATGGGACAATGCAGCCGTCATTCTGCTCAGGAAGGAGACACGTTCTAGTCTCCTAGAGATGAACGTACTTTGGTCTGAAAAGTACTGATCAATCCCGGTACAACAGCAAAGGTCCTTGTGAAGACACTGGAGGAAACAGGTACCAAAGTATCTATGCTCACAGTAAAATGAATCCTATAGAGGCATAAACCGAAAGGCTGCTTGGCAAGGTAGAAGCCACTGCTCCAAGACCACCATAAAATGGAATGTTTAAATGTCAGGGGTTGTGAAAAACTGAGTTTAAATGTATTTAGCTAAGGTGTATGTAAACTTCTGACTTCAACTATATGTATGGTTGAGGGAAGGAAACAGTGACTTGGCCTTGCTCCCCCATGCGGTCCACCCAGAGCGTCCCCCAGTTATTTCTGCTTGATGAAATCAAATTTGTCATTTGATAAATTACTGATTTCAAATTGGAGTTTCTTGCTAGTGCAACCTTAAGTTACATACTGTAGTTTTAATCACAAAACAGCTGTAACACAAAGGAATACCTACAGAAAATGCCTCAGCATGGGTATTTGGGGAGTAGGTAAGGGATGAGTCAGCACTTGCTTGGTCACAAAAGGCTAAATGTAACTTTCAGTTAAACCACTGGTGCTATGGTTGCTACTAGCACCAAAATGCCCAAATTAAATCAAGTGCTAATAGCTTGAGCCTCTAAATCCTGGTAAAATTCCCATGGGTCCCCTCAGTCTAAATGTGTACCTGTCTGTTTTCAGGCCACACCTGTGCCCCAGGAGGATTCCCCATCAGATGAAGCCCAAGCAGCCAAACGCCGCTGCTTGCCCTCTAGCTCAGCTCCACCTGCCAATTCCCACATGGAAACGGCTAGTCCACCCACCTGCCCCTTAACAGTCCAAGGAGCAACAAAGCATGACAGCGTTATTACCCAGCCCACCTCCCAGCCTATGTCACAGCCCAGCATGACCACACAGGATGCCCCCACCCCAAATGACTGTATTCAGATGGACACTGAGACCCCAATGGACACTAGTGTTGCCCTCTCCAACACTCTAGCACAGTCAACCCTGGCTTCAGACACCACGCTGGCTCCACAGACAACCCCTTTTCAGTCAACATTGAACTCTGATCCTCTCCTGTCGCCTCCCCTGCCCCCCCAGCACATGTCCAGCAGCTATATGCCAAGCAGTGGCTATGTTTCCTACATGGAAACCCTCCTGCATTCGCATTTCCCTCAGGACGATGGCGCCGGACCCTTGTATTAGTAACTGACTTCACTATGTTATTAGTTAGCTAGTGGAGGCTGAGCCAATAGGAAGTAAGCTAATGGAAGTGGATTCTGATCCTGTATTAATGGACAAAATTACTTCCTGAACGAGCTCTGAGAACTTAGGGCAGAGCAGGAGGGGGTGTGGACATCAATGCATGTTACTATCTGTTTTTTTTTTTTTTTAAAGTTGATGTGCTTTAGCCCGCTATGAAGCAGCAGCTAACAGGACAGGGCTTTTTATTTGTAATATTAATGTTGTTATTAATATTATTATTATTATTATTATTATTTGTTGTTTTTTTTTTTAAGGCCTTTATCTTTTTTCACCTGTGGCCAGCTGCTGTGCTTTTCTCTTCCATCTTAATATGAGTCTCTGGATGATATCAACTCCATACCTCGTTGCAATTAATCGGTAACAGCACATTCCCGTTTTCTTTTTACAGGAAGCTAATTACTCTAACAGCCTCTGAGCAGTGAGGCCCAGTGGTCTCCACAGTTTTTTTTAAGTCAAATAACCAGCAACAAAGTATCTATTTTTCAATCCAGCCCCTTGTGGCTTTGAAACTGACAAAGTGTCACATTGATATTCTCAGCACGGTGTTTTGTTGTCTGGTTGCAAGAGGTAAGTGGGGAAACGGGGTTAAAAATGTATTGTAGGGGGAACTCAGTATTTAAATGTCTTAGTCAAATATTGAAATATTTGTAATAGAATAAATGTGTTGAATTGCAACACTAGTAGATTTGTACACAGAATACATTGATTTTTTGTGAAGATGTCACAGTAGTTAAAACCTTTATGTATTGACGACATTGAAACTCTTTTCACACCCGAATTTGTCTTGGGGTTCCTACGTGTGGAAAATCAATTCAGTTTTAAACATCAAAGCCTTTATGCAGGAAGTAGAGAACAGCCAGGAAGAATGACTCAAAGCTAGTCATGATTTGAATATCCATTGGCTGTATTGTCATATTTGCTCCTGTTAACAGCTTGTCTGTTGCGCTAAGTGTGATGTCTTTGTGTACTGTCACATATTGGCTATTAGCACATAAATGGGCCAAAATGAATGAAGGGAATTTAAATTATGAAAGTGTGGAAAATGTCTGATATTTGGAAAAATTATGTAGGAATCCTAAAACCTAAAAAATATTTTGTACTCCTCTTGGTTTAAATTTTATGTATAAATCAATATTGTATATTGTTAATGCTGTCTGTTTTCTATTATTCTATGTTAATTTTCTGAAATTAATTTACAAACCTGGCTGATCTAAAATATCAATGCCTTTATTTTTGACAGATTTTTTGCAGGCATATTACTAGTTTGTACAGATGTTATGTCTGTCTTTTTCCTGGTTGTGGCCGTTTTGTGCTACACAGGTGCTACAGAAATAAACTACTGATAGACTGTTCACCAACACAGTCACCTTGTGAATATACCACAGGCCTTGTGTATTGTGAAATTTGTAAATGTTGCATCTAATTTTACCATTTTTTTCTGTCACCACAGCTAAAATGTTGGAACACATGTGTGTTCTGGTATCCAAATGATATCCATCAAAAATTCTTCATCTTCATAAGGATTAAAGTGGTTTACTAGTCGCCAGCTCTTCTGTGTTTTGTGTATTCAGTAGCCCAGAAAGTAGTTTCTGGGTGAAAATCCTCAAACTATGGACAGATAATGAAAGTGTCCTGAGTAAATACTAATTTTTTCTTATTAGTAAGTAGTGGGTATATATAGTAGGTATTTTGTAGGGATAAAAATGGTCCCTGTATATTTTATATTGTGATTTCAATCAACATACACTAACCAGATAGCAATGTCTGGTATTGGCTATTCCAATGAATTAAAGACCTTGATCATTCTAACAATGTGTTTATGCCCTATAATCATTTCAGACACCCACAAAACATAATACAAGCGAAGATATTAAAGGGTTGTTTTAACCCAGCACCCAGCAGTTTGAACACACCAAATAACCTGTCTAATTTTGTTTAATCAGTGCAAAAACCAAAGTGTAAAATCAAACTGCCAGCCTAGCTCTTGGCATGACACACTGACTTTGGATCCATAACACATGGAGATTTAGGTAACTTCAGGACAAAGCCATGCTTGTTGTTTTCACCATTTATGCAAAGCTAGCTGTCTTCTAGCTAATCGTCATATTTACCAGACACAAAAGTGGTTTCAATTGTTGCAGTTAATGCTCAGCATAAATGTAATTTTGTGTAATTCCCAAAATGTGGAACAATTCCTTTTAGGTTAAGGTTGTGATATTTTTAATTCTATTGCGATTCCCCCTCTCCTCGAATTGCCACCTTAATTTGGTGGAGAGGTTTGTGTATCCCAATGATCCTGGGAGCTGTGTTGTCTGGGGTATTAGCCCCTGATAGGGTCTCCCATGGCAAATTGGTTCCAGGTGAGGGACCAGACTAAGAGCAATTCAAAAACCCTGATGAAAATGGCAACTTTGAGTTCTCCTCGTGGAACGAGAGGGATGCGTATATGTGACTTAAAGTACTGAGAGGAAAGCCCTGAATGTTGTTTGTGCCTATGCGCGAAAAAACAGGAGCGCAGAGTATGTGGCCTTCTTGGAGACCCCTGGTGGGGTCTTTGAAGGGGCATCACCTTGGGGACTCCATAGTTCTGCTGGAGGACTTCAATGCTTACATGGGCAATGATGGAGAAAAGGGGAGTGATTGGGAAGGAGTGTCCTGCCCAATCTGAACCTGAATGGTGCTTTGTTATTAGATGTCGTGCCCCTGTCCGGCAGGTCTTCAATTCACACCTCCGGAAGAATTTCTCTCACGTCCCGGGGGAGGCTGGGGACATGAAATCCAAATGGGCCATATTGAAATCCTCCATTGTAGAAGCAGCTATGAGAGACACTGAAGTCTAAATACAGTATGTGCCTACCAATATTCTTAGCATAACATTAACCACCCAAATCCATACTTAACCAACTTTAATACAAACCTAGGCTTGGTTAAGTACAAAGTTTAAATGCTTAACAGTTTTTAAAAATCTTTTACCTAAATCCGACCTACAGGTTTGGCAAACAAGTCACGGTGCCTGGGGAATTCATAATTTTACTTCTTAAATGAAAATAGTACCAGATTTAGCATGACATTTACTTTTTATTGAAATGCATTTCTATTAATGCCTCAGGGGAAAATGTATTTTCTTCTATGTATTCATTTAGTAATGGTGAAATTTAATTAAGGCTACCAGGGATGCCCTGGGTCTATGGTGTGTAATCATTTTATTAAGAAATGATCCTCCACTCCTCCTCAGACATTGAGACTGAAAGTGTATTTTTTATAAATTGGCAGTGCAAACAGCAGCACTGCTGTTTATTCCTTGCTGCAGCGTCTCACTGGCAGGAATTCTGGCTCTGCACATTAAACACACAGCATGGAAGTGTGTTTTTGCACTTGCTTGCTGGGGTCCTCACATGAGTTATTTTTAGATGGTATAATGAGCAGGAACCACCGTCCAGAGCAGCTGAAACCCCCTCCAAATAAATTCGGCAATCTATAATTTAGGGAGTGGAATACATTCCTCTTTTTCATGGGATATCAAAATACAGCAAATAGTGTTCAGTCTGGGCAGAGCTGTTTTCTTGTACTGTGTTTTTGGTGTGGGATATTGTCATCCCCATCAGAAAAATAATTTGTGTGTTGCAGCATTTAATAGATGTATGCTTTTCCTGTTTCATTTTGCACCACTGCAAGCATGCAAGGCTCGAAAATATTCTCCAACATGTTGATATATAGTAGAAATGCTCAACATAGCATGATAAAGTACATGCACAGTAATAAGTTAGGACTTGTTTTGACTGTACAATATATTGTCATGTATTTTAGTATGGTTAATGTTCAAGCATTTAAAGCACTTCTGCCATGACAATTCTACTAGTATGAATAATTAATTAGTATGAATATGGGTGCAAAATAGATGCACTGGAGCACCCTTGCTTGTTAGATCTGCAGAGCTGACGTTATTTGCTTTTAACTTTTTTGCAAAAAACTGAAGTATGTTTTATCATCACTGTAACTGTTGTAAAAGAAAACTTTGTAATATGGCCTACATTTGCTTAAAGGCTAACACACAAATGCATGTTTATTTTTCTAGAGCTGTGAGGGCGATTAAACCTGTTCCCTGCCTCTTACCCCTCGCCTTACCTTTATACCTTAATGTTTACCCCCTAGCCTTACCCTAACTCTACAACTACCCTTAACTGTAAACAAATGTCTTAACCATTGAACAGCCCTTTGAAGTTGAGTCCCTACCAAAATGTCCTCCCTGCTGTAGCTTCAAACTAAAATTTGTCTGTAAAAACCTAAAAATTCATGTACAGTACATACATTCACACACAAAATCTGCCACTACTAGCGGTGCATGTGCCAAGGCCACATTGCCCAGGCTTGATCAGGGTGGCCATTAACATTCTGAAGTGCCTGCTGTGTCTTTGTAGAGGAACTGGGGATGTGCCAGCTTGGCAATTACTTTAACAACTCCAGAGTTTGATTTCTTATTTCAGCTGAACCCAGCCTGTGGTTAACCCTAAGAAGACCCTGACACAGCTGTAGTTTAGTGGGGAAAGAAGCAGGAATTCTTAAAATATATTGTATTTCAACAGTATGTGTTCATGAAGCTGGAGCCAAAGAGACCACACACACACACACACACACCTGTGTTCATGATATCCAGTGCAAGTCTGTTTCCACCAATTTGTCCTTCAGAATGACATTAAAACCTCTAACCTGCTTGGTGACTATCAGCTGAAGGACTCAAATGGAAATGAAAAATCAGTCAATGCAGTGGGATCTAATTGCAGATGGAAGTGGCAATTATGTTGACAAGCTGGTTGATATGACAGACTCCATTATAGCCTTAAGCTTTTATTACATTTCTGTCTAGTAAATCACATCACTGCAGCAAAATTACCATAATGACTTAGTGGAGCTCAATCTGTCAACACTGTCCGTTGTTTGAAGGGGACTGGTCTGATTAGTTGGAGGCAGTTGATCTTTATAAATGAGACACAGAGGACTTTCAAGTGATGAACCATGCATGTGTTGCCTCTCTAGGGTTGTGTATGGGTTACAGAAAACATGTCTTGTTTTATTTTTGATGTCTGATAACCTATACAGTGGTGTCTTGAAATCCCATACAGTATGGGATGAGTTTGCTATGAAATGTATTCTCCCATGTTATCCACTCAAAGAAAGCAATAGAATGTAACCACATTTCAGTAAGGAGAGATCAATACAAAGTATATAAAAAAAGGTTTACTGAGGTTAACAGTGCAGAAAGATTTTTGCAATAAGACCCCACCACTGTTATGCAGCTTGATAAGCATTAGGCCAGTGACGTTCTGTATAATCCCCATAGTCTAGGCACTGAACTAAAGATGTCTCATGGAATGTTCCAGGTGAAACACCTAAATCAACCTGCAGGATAAGCTGGTGATGAGGAGGTGCTGAACTGTGTAGATGTAAGACTGAAGGACAGTCCCAATAGAAGGAGAAAACCTCCCTTACTGAACTTCACTGAAGATTCATTTGGTCAAATGCTGAGCTCAAGTACAACTGATGTTTACCCTGTCTTATACTGTTTTATAATTTTATGCTACCTATACTTCTATTTCACTACATTTAGCAGCTTTAGATACAATTTACTTTGGCCAACTGAGCTACTAAAACTGACATGTATACAGCTTTCATATATGCAAAAAAGATGACCAAGAGGCTCTCAATATGCAAAAAAACAAACAAACAAACAAACCCACTTATAACCATGCATATCATTAAAGGTTGTAAATAGAAGTCATAGATTGTGATGGATGTTCCTTTTAGCAGGTATTGCACCATAAACTGTTGTTGAGATGAACTTAACAGTCATCTCCGGGAACCTCAGACAACTTAAAGTGATAACAATGCTAGTTTTTATACTTTGTATATTGTTACATATGCATTCATCTGCTGTTTATAGGTTGTGTTGTTCTAAAACTATTATAGTTTGAGCAGTAGTTCCTGTTTGTGAGCACAACCACCTTTTTAAATGTGGAAGTTCTTTATTTTGGGAAGTAAAGTTTGTCCTGAATATCTGGGTTTGGATGCTGTTCTTTTGCCCAGCTGCTGTTTTTCTTTCTCACAAGTCTCAGTTTGTTTTTCTTGCTCCAGACACAATTAACTGAAAAGGAGAGAGGCTTGTTGGAGAGCAAGCGGGAAATAAAAACAATGTTGGTAAGTGCCGAGCGTTATTAATGAAGTGAATCTTCATCCAGTCACACACGACAAATAAATGGCCGCCCCCTTGAAGCTCTTAATCGGCCCATTAGTCTTGGAGCCACCACAGCCCACTCCACCCCCATCCCCCCATGTTCCCTTTAGACCAGACCAGATACATCCATCACCTCATATTCGCCTGCCGACCACATGCACTGACAGAGCTGAGTGCACAGCTGGAGATGCTACATCATATTTACTTCTTTACTTGTGCAATAAACACACATCTCGAGCCCAACCAGTCTCTCTCCCTCCATCATTTAAATTCTCACATTACTCCTTTTCACAAGAAACCTGGAAACTCATCTGATCAAAAAACTAACATCTTCACTTGTAGCTCCTCTGCTTGCATGAAAAATTCTGTCTTCCTATGATGCCTTCCCTTGTGATATGGT